TATAATTATTATGTTAATTGTTATTATTAATCAATTACTTTTTAATGTTTATCATATGGCTTATAATTAAATAACGGATTTGTTGGAAACTATCTGTTGATTAAGTTAATTGTAGACTCGATTTAAGAAAAATAAAAATCATGGGCACATCTTTACATAAAATAATTTTTTTGTCTTTATGAAAGCCATTTTCGTCTTATTCACTTGCCGGCTAAATGGGATTGAACTTACTTATCGTTTGCTTTTTATGAATAATTTTTAGCCTGGCCATATCCTCTTCAAATGATGACGAACAATGAACAGGTCATTGAGGAGGAAGAAGAGGAGGAAGAGGAGGAAAACGACGAAGAAGACGAGCTTGATGTAGATGATGAGGAGGTGGATCACGAAGCAAATTGTCACATCAATACAAGTGGTGGTAAATATGAGATAAGTGGTAAAAGAGAGCTTGTATCATACGGAAATGGGAGCAAGGCAGGTATCAATAAAATATCCGCATCACTGCCTCCAAATGACGAAACTACAAGGACTCTGACTACCACAGACCAACTCAGACAGGCTTCAGAAGCGTATCTCTCTGGGCCGGTCTCACCTATCTCCAGCTCGAATGCACAATCTTGCCAGTTTGATGGTTCCAACTTGTTTAAAACCCTTAAGGAGGAAGCTGGCGGTGCAGAACCTCGAACGACAGATCTTGAATGCCAACATTCATGTCGCCAGCCTCTAGATGATATGCAAGAAAGACAGAAACGGACTAAGATGAAAGTTAAACCCGCCGGTAAGATGGAGAGTGAACAAGAGTGCAGGGATCCGTGTAAAGATAAGACCAAAAGAAGAAAAGAAGATGAGCAACAAGAGGAACAAGAAGAAGAAGAAGCTAAAGATGCCTCCGGAGACATGCCGTTCCAGTTGGCTCCTGCGCCTAAGAGGAGAGGACGGCGAAAATTTTTGCGACTGGGAGTTCAAATGAGGCAGCAAGCGCCCAGTGAATGCATCATAGGCCCCCATTTGATGCCTGGCGACATGCTTCTACACCATACGCCTCCCACCGCTGAGGCTAACGACGTCGACAATGGCGCCAAAATTGGTGGAAGTGAATCGGAGAACCAGTCCAATCTGTGCCCTCAGGAAGCAGAGGAGAAGAGTGGTAAAACAATGTCACTTCAGGTGAGCTGAACGTCTCTGCCCTTAAAACCTATCTACCAAGTTCCTTGATTTTACGGGATAATCTCCCAATCCAAAAATACATGGCTTCTGGGTTGTAGTATGAATCCAGAGGGGTACGGGCTCTTGGGTACTCTCAGAGATCGAGCAAACGCCTCCTACATCCCAAAGTAGCTACCTGTAGACTCTTCTAGTTTTCTATTGGATGCCGCAATTCCAGGCTTGGCGGCCATTCTGGTACGGGAGAAGTTACAAATCTGTAAAGCATAATATCATGTTGGCTTATTTCCGACTTCGCAAGTTAATCGTGATTTCAGGGCGACTTCAAAGAACGCAGCCAATACAGCGTCCCCTGCCATTGTTGTCTTGCGTTATTTTAGCCTTGGCAGAGGATGCACTAAGAGGCATATTTTAGAAATAGCCCTGGAAACGTGATTAAATCAGCTTCATAAAACGAAAAGAGACTGTGACCAGACCAAAAGCCACACAATCCTGGCTTAACTACATCCTTTTCTTCACAATTTGGTCTTAATCGGCAAACTTATAAAATGTCTAAAAAAAAATAGTCTACACTTCGCACTAGATGATATTTCCGAAACAATATGACTCATTTGTGAGTCAAACAGAACGGCATTCCAAATGAGATAAAAAGGAAAACAGGACTCCGAAGAATGCCTTAGTGATATATTGTAGCATGAGTTTCCATTTCGAAGGAAAAGTTTTTTGGAAGGAATTTGTGATGTGGCCCCACCAGAAACCGAAGGAGGATTACCGAATAGGGTTGACTGTTGTATTGTGCGGAGAAGTCCTCGGCTCGCACAATACAACAGTTTTCATATTACAAATGCCTATGAGGCCGCTAAGGCATTGGTACTAGACATGTGAGGCTCAAGTGGTTTCCGCACAAACTACTTTTGTAGCGATTCGGAATGTTAAGCTGTATGGCTTGTGTTGACTCCCGGGATTTGTTGTAAGCTGATGTTTTGACTAAAAGCCAATTGCTTCGCCGACGAACATTTAACTTTTTCTCGATATAGATAGTCTTCGCAGCTATTGATAATTTAAAGATAAAAATTTATTCATCTCATTTCTCTTGAGTGACTAAGTTCGCAAACAAGAATAACTGATAGTCTCGAAACCTATTTGTACTGTTGCATATTCGACAATGCTTCTATAAATAAGCTTTGGGTGAGGTCTGGTTTGCCTTGAATGTCACATTTGTCCTGTAACACTTAGGCTGTTTGATGTAGTAATAAAGTTGCCAAGACACCCATGCTTTGGTATCGAGTCGCGATGGGGAGGCTGACGAGATGATGAGGCGAGATGAAAATTGTATTGTAGTCCTGCCTGGATTAGATGGCTTTTTTGGATGCAAGACCTATTGAAAGTCACTGGTATCCCGAGGTCGACTCATTTGATTGCGAAAAAATTCCACCATCAACAATTAGTGATTTGTTTTAGCATGAATTTCGATTTCAAAGGAAAATTTGGTTGGAAAGAATTCGTGAAATGGTCTTGCTGGATTCCAAATGTGGATTGCCGCAGAGTAAAGATGTCCTCGGTTCACTGTCCTGCTAAGCATTCTTCTATACTGTGATAGACATAATCAGAGCAAGAATTCTTACTTTATAAAATAGGGTAAAAAATATACCAAAGCTTTTCTATTCGTTAGTATATTTTCCGTCAAATATCGTTTCTTGTTCTGTAAATGTCTGTCACGGAAGTACAGACAAAAGTTTAGCACAGATTCATTGGGGTAGTAGAACGGTGGGTTGATGACTTCTTCGTATAATCCGACAGTCTTCACTCCGTGGAAATCCTCCTTTGGCTTCCGATTAGAGCATTTCACGAATTCCTTCGAACCCTCTTTTTCCTTCGAAATGGAAATTCATATCACAGTGTGTATCTAGGCTTTATACAGTAAAAATGATTCAACAAAGGAATTTAAAGTATAGTACATCAGTATGAAACAAGGCTATTCTCTTAATTTAATTGAGTCTATTTTCTTAGATAAATTGTAAGGGAAATCGGCCCTTTGACTCAGTGAAATCTGAGGCTAAATGGCCCAGGAATAACCTACTCCGGTTTCGAACCTCGCTAAGGAGTATGAAACACAGCTTCGATAAAAAGGTCTATTATGAGACAGGGATGAAGTAATTTCAGCGGTCTGATCAGGCCTTTAACTAACTTTATGGTAGGAAATTCAATTATCAGCTCTTATTAAACCCTAAAAGACCTTAAACAATTTACATTGACTTTTCACAAAGAATCTAAACTTCTAGAGTATATATTTGAGTCGACTTTTATATGCTTCTACAAATGTTTCAATTTGTCTGTTTGCTAAAGCAATTGAGATTATTCGAATCTTATAACTCTGAAAAGCAGTAAAGTGTCAGTACTTTAAGTATTCATTTGGTATTGGAAGTCAACATTTAATGACCGCCCAAACTATCTGATAGCTGAATTTACCAAATTTAGATGAGCTAAACATCTCGGGTTTTTATTCTGCTCTACTGGCGGTTAAAGCGCCTATTTATTTTATACCGGCCCTACCGACAATGAGCTGAAGAGAAAGTCTTCAAGAAAGTCGTTCTAACACAGGCTAAATTGAAGTTTGTACCTCGTCTCTTTGTATGTTGGGTTTCAGCCATGTATGCTCGAGCTTAGGGATAAGCACTTCAAATGATGGTCCACTTGACCCTGCTGGCATGTCTTTACCTTAGGGCTGCTTCTCATAACTTATTTCTGCTGTGGGTGATTCGTGAAGATGTACAGTTCCAGATACTCGGGCAGAATCCCGCTGATCAATGAGCCTGAATATTAGTCATCTTTTGAAATGAAATTGGTTGCAATGAATCCCCAAGCATTGCCCAGCATTTGTCTAAATTCAAAATATTTTTCTTAAACACCCTGAAAAAATAATGCTTCCTGAAGAAGTAAGTGTTAAAAGCATCCTCCCAGTCCTGTATCAGAAACTTTGATTTTATGGCACAAATCAGGCAAAACACCATTATTAAATGGCTGTTTTAACAATTGAGGGGCAACAAATATGATTAGACCCATTTAAACATAATAGTCTTCTTAGCACACAACAAATGAAGAAAACTTTTTTCATGCTGGAAAAAGGGTTAAACTCGAAATGGCCCTTCAACCTCATAAGTTTCATCAAAACAGCTATAAGAAGCGAAAATGATGGAAAAAGAGGGTACAAAACAGTTTCCCCCTCCACAACGGAGCTCTAATCATCCA